AGGTGGGACTGTGCCCCCAAAATTCGTGTGCTGGTATCCTAACCCCCAGGGCCTCAGAATGTGGCCTTATGTTGATTGTCACTGCAGATGTAACTAGGGAGAGGTCACGCTGGGGACACACTTTCCCTCAGAGCCCTCAGCAGGAACCCACCCTGTCCACACAGTGTCTCAGATTCTGACCTCTAGAATTTGGAGACAAATGTCCAGTGTCCAAGCCACATGGTGTGGGGGGCTTTGTGACAGTGGTGCCAGGACCCTGAGGTGGGGCTCCTCATGCCACCCTGGCCCAGGAGGGCACTGTGAAAATCCTGCAAGGTGGCCAAGGAGCAGGCACAGGGGGTCAGGCTAGGGGCTTCCAGGAAAGCGGAGTGGCAGCATCACAGGAGCTGGAAAGGCCCTCCTACACATCTTCACATCTCCAGATGGGAAGGTCACGGAGAAACCCTGGCTGGAGAGACAGCCGGGCTGTTGTGGCCATGGTGGTGGCTGATCTCTCTGTGGGGTGGGCACCCAGGGCAGGCGCAGAAGTGGAGGCTCAGGAGCCAAGGAGGGCCTCAGGAGGGGCGGACCTGGGACGCAGTGCGGGTGCCTGGCCTGCGCTCTGCTCTGGCTCCCGTGGTGTGCTCTTTACTTTCTTTGTTGATGGGATTTAGAGTATTCCTGAGGAATTTGGGGTGCACAGGTCTGGAAGGGAAGAACCTCAATGTACCCGAGGCCCTGGGGCCAGCTGCACCTCATGTGTGCCCTCTGCTGATCCTAAGATAAAGGAGCAGGTAGAGAGAATCCAAAGACTGCTTAAATTATCTAGTTTAAAAAACAAAAAGCAAAGCCAAGCCAGCATGGTGGTGCACGTGTGCAATCCCAGCTCCCAGGCTGAGTTCAGGAGGTTTGCTGGGAGTTCAAGGCCTGCCTGGAATACAAAATGAGATCTGACTCAAAAACAAACAAAAAGTGGGCCACTACCTTTGCAGGGCATGGGCCCCCTTTTCCGGGTTTCCACACCCTGGAGAGAAGCACGAATGACCCATGCTTCCAAAAAATAAGCGCTTCTCTCTTGAGAGCCTGCAGTCCTTCTTTCACTGTGTACTTTTGAGTTTCTGCCTAATCAACTCCTGTACCTGTTCCAGACTAGTCCTGAAAATTCTTTCTCCACAACCAGAGTCAGCCTACCTGCTGACTTTGTTTATGCATAAGGTGGGTTAGGCTCCTTATCTCAGCATCAAGAACCTCCTGGGACCCATCCAGTGACATACAGACGATGCCTGGATTTGGTGAAGCCCTGCTCTGCTTTGGTGGGGTGGGGGGCACTGGCAGGGGAGGGGACACATTTAGACTCTCGTCCTTGCTTTGGTACTGGTCCTGTGTGCAGCTCCTCCCTCCTGTCTGGCCGGGAGTGGTGCTAGTTCTCTCCACAGGGCACCCCAGCATGGAGCCGTCCTGTGGCTGCCTCTCCTTCCAGGAGTGACCCTGTGTTTATAAGCCCTGGATTCCTGGGGCCTAGCGGCCTGGCCTGTGCCCTGCCCTCCTAGTGTAGCCCTCACCCTGCAGAAAAGGATTTGCTTTCTCCAGAGGGTTGGCTCACTAGGCCCAGGCTGACCTGGCATTGCTGAGGACTCCTGCTTACTGCCCACCTGTCCAGGCCCATGTCCCCTGCACCTTCCTGGGAGACAGGGACACCCCTGCCCATGCCTGTTGTTCAGACCCCCACTGAGGCTTGTCCTTACTGCCCCCCCAGCACTTCCTGTGGAACTCTGACGTCACGCTCAGCCTGCCATTCAGAGCTCCCAGCTGTGCTCTGCCCTTCCCCTGCCCTTTTTGTCACCCTGTGACCCTTGGCAACGTCTGCTGGGCCTTTAGAAGCTGAGATGGGACCTTGTCCTGCAGCCTTCCTGAGACCCGGCCCCCACTTCTGAGCTCATTCAGGCCCTGATAAATCCACCGACCGACACCACACCAGGCTTTGGGGTCTGAGGTGCCACTGAGATCCACCCCTCTCAGCAGGGCTGGGACCTGTGCCAGGGCGCGGGGGAGCCCAGCCTAGCCCTCGGCTCTCCTCCTTTGATTTCTGAGGGACAAACCCATTCCTCATCCGGCCTAGGAGGGCCCAGAGCTGGGCACCACAGCGGCATGGGGCCCAAGACTGCTGGTTTGTGGCTTGCTTATGCACGTGTGCACGGTGTCTCCCATGTGTGGGGACAGGCCCCTGTCCACACTAAAGGCAAGAACCAGGGAACACCAGTACTGACACAAAGCAGACTAGCAGGAGTGTGAGTGGGCCTGGGGCACTGGAGTCTTTCTGAAGGTGGCTTCTAGGTTCCTTCTGTCCTGATGAAAGAACTGGCTAAGGCGAGCACAAAAGGTAGTGAGGTTTTACATTTATAAAAGGTATGAAAAGAAAAGAAGCATGCTCTACGGAACAAGCTGGGCCCAACTAAATGTAGGAAAAAAGTACTGTATGCTCTGCAGGGTGAGCGTGGACCACTGCGACCACCTGCACACGTTCTGTGTCTCGCACTGCTCAGGCAGAGGCAGGTCTAGGCCGTCCCCTCAAACACCCCCCAGTTCTCGGCTCTGGTGAGGAGAATCGATGCTGGCACTCTTTGATTGGTCCCAGCTTTGAGAACGGTTTTTCTGTGCATTTCCTAGATCTCAGTTATTGAGGGCCATGGCCACTTCCGAATCTCCTGCCTCAGACGGGCTCCACAGACATTCCTGGCTCAGCAACCTCCCTGGTTAAGCACTGTTCAGACTCCAGACCCGTTGCCCGGACTTGCCACCTGTCTTTCTTCCCTTTGCACAGCTTTGTACCTCTTGCACAGCGCCTCCGTGACGTTCGCACAGCGCGCCCTGTTCACACCGCGCTGTGGTTTTTGGTGACTGCACCGCGCAGCCCAGTGCTGTCAGGCCGTTCTGTTACGCGTTACGGCGCCGCAGGGGAGAGTTATGCAAATGGAGGCAGTCATCAAGTTGGGGTTTCCTTAAACCGTAGCTTTGTTCCGAATATTGTGATACATTCTATGTACAGTTCCACATTTAGCGACCCGTTCACACTAACAACCTGGGCGCAGGAAGGGAAGTTGGTCTGGAACTTGGTGGTTAATGAAGAGTGTCTGTGCTGTGTCAAGGGAGACTTCCACCCTCTCCATTCCTCCCTCCCTGGAGCATGCAGACACCCACCTGGCCACCTTACCGCCTACTTATCTGCTCTTATACCTTTCTTTATTTAATTTTTTTTTCCTTCTGCAGTACAGTAAGTCTCTGTCTTGTGATCAAGTTCCGTTCCAGGAGAACATCGAAAGTCGGGTTCATGTGTAAGTCTTGCAAAATGAGTCTTATACACCCTTGACATAAAAACACAGTGTAAAGCATTAAAAGAAACCCACAAAGTCCGTTTGTCTTTGTATAAGTTCACAATGTGAATGTTCATAAGTCAGGGACTTACTCTACTGGGGAATGAACCCAGGGTCTGACTCATACTAGGCAGCTTTTTACCAATGAGCTATATCCCAACCTTTAAAAAAAATTTTTTTTTTTCCTTTGAGGCGTTTTTCTAAATTGCCCAGGTTGGCCTCAAACTCAATCCTCCTGCCCCAGCCTCCTGAGCCACAGGGATTACAGGTATGTGCTATTGCACCCTGCTCCACCTGCCCTCCGTGTGTCCAGCTACTCCTCACCCACCCACCCGGCCTGTCCATCCGCGAGTCTGCCCACCCACCCACTGTCCTGGGCGCAGGGAGGCCGGCCCGGCTCTCTCAGCTCCTGGTGTGCGCAGTCAGGGTGACTCCTAGGGCCTGGCAGAGGCACCTCCTACACCCCAGCCGAGTCTCACACTGTTCAGGGTCTTGAGCCTGTGTGTGGGTAGGGTTGCCTGGGGTGGGGGCGCCTTGCCACTCCCACCCAGCTGCAGGTGCTCCTGTGTGTGGGTGGAGGCCAGGGCTTTTTTCTCTTCTCTAGTCCTGGCCTTCATTGGCTCCCAGGGGCTCTCAGGGTTATAAATAGATGTTCTTGAGCTAAAAATAGCCTTGCTGGAGTCAGAGCTGCTTCCAGCTCTCAGCCTCTGAGGACTGGAGGAAGCAGGACTTGGGGACCCCCATCTCAGCCCCTCCCCTCAAGCCCTCTTCCTGTCAAAACACACACATAGGTGCCGTCTGTGTCCTGTGTACCTCTCCAGCCAGCCAGTGTCACTAGCGGATCCCCCCACACCTGCTTGGAAGGCAGAAGGTCCCTGGGAACTGGTGTCTGGCTGGCCCAACTGTGAGACTGACGACCCAGCCTGCACTGGGCACCCGTGCACTGTGGCAGGGTCACCAGGCACATGTGGATGCCACCCAGAAAAGCTACGCCTGGAAGTCTGTCCTACAGAAGGGCCAGTGGCTGTGAGCTCATCTGGAGGGTGAGGCCCTGACTTAGGCCAGGCTCAAATTCTGGACCTGCCTCGCCCACAGACACCTGGAGCGGCACGGTCCCCCTCGCTGATGCTGGTGAGCATTTTTTTTCTTTTTGAGACAGGGTCTCGCTATGCAGTCTAGGCTGCTCTTGAACTCACTTTGTAGCCCAGGCTGGCCTTGAACTGGCAGTGATCCTGCCCTAGCCTCCTGAGCGGTGGGATTACAGGCGTGTGCCTCCACCTGGCCACTGGTGAGCTTTTGACCCTTGTGCTGCATGCGTGTATAACCTACCAGACCCCGTTTCTGTTGGAAAAGTTGCTGTGTGGCACTGACACCCCTGGGTCTGGAGGGATGCAGCGGGGCAAGCTGAGTTCCTAGTTGTCAGTTCTAAACCATTTCCATAGTCACAGCAAGGACACAAAAGGGTGCTTTGTGTCCCAAGGTACAGAGGCCCCACACCCTCCCCCACACCTGGCCACAGGGACATTACCAGACTGTGTCCTGTCGCTGGCCCACTCACCCCCAGGCTGCTGGCCTCAGATTGCCTTCAGAGCCCCCCAGCCCCTCACCCCACCCTCGCCCACCCCAGCCCAAAGAAAGGCAGCGGAGGCATGGGGAAAACATGTCTTGGGATTTATTACAACACATGGTTTCCAAATACAAAAGGAAGGAATAGGAAAGTGCGGCCCACAGGGGCAGAACTCCTGGGGGTAGGTGGGTCCTCTGGTCGACAGGGACAGGGGCCTTGGGGGAGCACCCTCCTCTGCTGGGCTTTCCAGCAAATAACAGGAGGGGGCCAGGTCCATTCTGGGCAACCCCTGATGCCAGGCAGGGCCAGAGACTCGAGGGCCCCTGTGCCCACCTCGCCCAGCACATGGAGGCCCTCTCTCCATTGTGTCTGCTCACTTTGGGGTAACAGCGTCAGGAGAGCAGGAACAGAGACAGACGAGGCTTCAGGGCCTTACACGCCCCCGCCAGGGGAGGGCAGGGGCCGGGGACCTGCCCCAGAGTTCCAGGGGCCCAACCAGTGGCCCCAGAACACCATCTCCCAGACAGCAGAGGGGCAGGTGACGGGGGCAGTACATCCTGCACACCCAGGGTCACCTCAGAAACCCAAAGCAACAGACAGGAGGCAAATTTACATAATCAATAATAATAATAATAATAATAATTAACCAATAATAATAAATACTTAAACCTCTAATCCATAGATTGCAAATACAACAATGATAGCTTATTTTCTTGGGGACAGGGCATGGGGGTACATAGGGAGTGGGAACAGGACTTTGCTCAAAGGAGGGATGACAGGGACACAGGGCTGGGTCAAAAGAAGAACAAATAGAAAGACACAGTGGCGGGGCTGGGGGCACAGGCGGTGAGCAGAAGGGCGCCACCCCAGGCCTGTCTAGGAGACAGCCTTCCTGGCGCTCCTGCCAAGCCTTTGAGCTTTTCCTGAGGTGCCGGGCAACCCTCTGACTCCAGGACCTCTGAGGGGCTGTTCTTGCCGCCAAAGCCTCAGGCCCCAGTGACCCAAGAGGACGTGGGGCAAGGTGGCTGGGGCTCTCTTCTACTTGCACCCCATGCTGACCCTCCTGGGCCTAAAAGCCCCTGGGGGTTAGGGGCTGGCACACAGGAGAGTGCCCAGGACAGGAAAGGGGTGCACAGGGGGTTCTCTCCTGAGAGGCCCTGGGGGGCCAGGCAGATGAGGGGGTCTTCTCCAATGCCTGCTCCCAACAGGGGGTGGCTCTCCCGAAGCGAAGGACCCCGGCCCTGGAAGTCCAGGAGCCTGGCAAGGGCAAGGCAGGCCCTGTGGGGTGGAGCTCAGCAGACCACGAGTCATCCCCTTGGACCTGGCCAGGGCTCCTTTCCCAAAGGCTTCCCTGGGGCCAACCTTGGAGGAGAGAAGAGGGGAGCGGCCACCTCTACATGGCCTCTCTGGACCTGGCATGGGGGGGTTGTTTCGCCCATCCTTGCCCTGGGAGTCCATGTTCTCTGATGCAGGAGCCAGTGCAGATCAACACCTGCCGGGGAATAGCTCTGGGTGACAGGCAGCAAGGGCGTCTCCAAGCCACCAAGAGCTGGGCCCCGAGCTGGTGGGCCCCTGTTCCTGTGGCCACCCTCCCCCACCTATGGCTTTGGTGCAGAGCCCACGAGAGCAGAGGCCGCTGCGGAGGGGAGGGGGACGGGTGGGTGGGGAGGGAGGGAGGCGGGGAGGGAGGTTCTGCGGCTCAGTTTGTGGCAAAGAAGTTTTTTTTCCTTTTTTCCCCTTTTTCTTACGTAAAAAGTGCACAAAAGCCGGGCAGTCTCTTTGCAACATCAGCAGTGTTTCCGGGGAGGGGGCGCAGCGAGGTCCCAGGCCTGGCACTGCAGCTCGGCGACAGTGACGGAAGGTGACCTCCTATTGCTTAGAGACTAGTGTTTCAGTTTAAATACCAGACAGTAAAAATAGAGCGCCGAGGGCTGCCCGCACAGTTGCCGAATCATTGCCAGCATGAACTGCTTAAATAAATAAAAAATTGAAATATTTACTTCTCGGTAAAAATTGCAGTAAAACCGTTTACCTTCCTTTGTATTATACATAATCTGTATTTATACTGGGCCGGCTGCTGCTTGGGGTGCCGAGGCAGTGGGCAAGGGCCCGCCTCGCTGGGGTCAGGAGACCTCGATGACCTCCACGCTGCCCGAGAAGCTGGCCTGCTTGCTCAGGGCTGCCAGCTCCTCGCCGCGCACACGCCCCTCAGCCATGCCCTCCTCGAACTCCATCTGGCAGCTGCGCCTCTTGAACTGCGAGTCGGGGGCCGGCTCCTCGGGCCAGCTGGTGCATGTGTCCCGGGTGCCACTGCTGCTGGGCCCTGGCATCCCCACCAGGCCAAAGGCCCCCTGTGCGCCCTCAGGGCTGAAGCACCAGGGTGCGTCAGGTGACGGCGTCCCCGGGGAGTCGAGCGGTGGCACCCAGGCCCCGGGGCTGGCTGGCTGACCTGGGCCGGGCAGCACAGGTGTGGACAGGGCAGAGAGGCCGTGACGTGGAGTCTGGCGCCCCGAATCTCCGAAGTTCAGGCCAAGGCTATGTGCCCCTGGGGAGCGGGCTGGGGAGCCAGCAGGGGGCCGGTGCCGCCGGCGGGGCTTGGGGCGTGTCTCTGTGCTGGCATCCGGGCTGTCTGCGCCTGGCGAGGGGAGGCCCAGTGTGCCCCCTGAGGGGCTGTCCAGCTTGCACAGCTTGGGTACCTCACTGCTGGGGTCAGGCAGCCCAGGGTGCTCGGGCCGCTGGCTTGGGGCATAGGCTGACTTGATGTCCAGGGAGAAGGAGCGCTTGAGGCGGTTGGTGTCCTGCAGGCGGTCGGAGGACAGGTGCAGGCCGCGCAGGCCCTGCTGCAGTGCACTGGTGGCTGGGTTGGCAGCTGGGGCCTCCCCGCGTGCGCCGCACTCCCTGGCTGCAGTGAGTGCCATGACCCCGGTGGCAGTGCTTTCTGAGGTAGGTGGTGGCAGCCTTGGCAGTGGGACCCCTGCTGTGGGGCCTGGGAGGGGGTCGGGGGTCCCCGGGTGGGAAGAGTCGCCCTGCAGGGCGGCCAGCAGTTTCAGGCTCCGCTCGTACTCCAGCAGCTGGCCCAGGAAGTTGAAATTGGGCGAGATCGATGGGCGCCGGTCCTTCACAAACCTGGTGGGAGTGGCTCCGTGGGCTGGGGGCTTAGCAGCCAGGCCACCCACAGCCCCCGCGCACCCAGTCAGCCCCCACCCGCCAGGTGGCGCTATGCAGGGGAGGCAGGGGCTGGCCCACGCGGGGTACCTGTAGGCGTCATCCGAGGACATGCCCATCGTCTTCATGATGTAGGCGATGGCGATGGTAGCAGAGCGGGAGATGCCGGCAAGACAGTGGACGATGACTTGGCAGCTGGACAGCTTGGCTTTATCTGGGCAAGTGGGCCGAGGGGACCAGGTGAGGGCGGGAGTGCAGGCCCTGCCCTGCCCCGAGCTACCGACCCCATACCCTGGGCCTGGTCAACCGGAGTCCAGCACTCTCTGCAAGCCCTGCCCCCGAGCCTCGCCTCCCCTCCCCTCACCGATGAACTCGATGGACTTGTCCAGCCAGGGCAGCAGCTTTTCACAGTAGTTGTCATTGATGGGGATGCGCATGAAGCGGCTCTCGCAGATGAAGTCCGGCTTGGGGCAGGAGTTGCTGGCGTTGAGCACGTAGCTTATTCCATTTTGGGTCATCAGATCCTGGAGGGGTGGGAGGACAGGTTGGAAAGGGGTGTGGTGGCCAGGAAGGACTTCAGAGATTTGGGATGTACTGAGGCCTGGCCCCTGAGCCTGGAGTTAGTCCTCGATGCTCCGTGTGGAAGGGCCTGGGCCCAGGAGCCCCCTCCCACCTTGACCCAGAGCCCCCCGCCCAGTGATGGTGGAACGACAGCCTCCCCTGCAAGCCCTGCCCGAAGCCTGCCCGGGCTCCCAGGAAGGTTATGGCTGGTTATGGGTGGTGGCTTCATTCTTCTTCCTCACCACCATTTTTAAAACACAGATTCTCTCAGAGCTGGCTGCCAGGGACACCACGGAAGGGGCTGGGCGCTGGCTCCCAGCTGGCCCCTCCCCGATGCCCTCTGTGGCAGGGGCTGTGCCTGGGTTCCCCTCCCTCACCCTCTCCCCTCAGGCCACGGCCCCGGGCCCCTGTCCTGGCAGCCAGAGCCCACTGTGCACACACCTTGTTGAGGACGTCCTTCTGAGAGCCCAGGTAGAGGTGAGGCAGGATGCGGGTCAGGCCCACGCTGGGCACAGGCAGGCAGGGCTGGGAGAGGCTCATGGGCGGCAGGGCGGTGGGCTTGCCCTCACAGAGGCCAGGGAAGCAGGAGGAGAAGGTGGCAAAGCCCCCTGTGGGAGGAAGCGAGGAGGTGTGTCGGGCCGGCAGGCCAGCTGGGCAGGAGAGGCCAGGGCAGGGGACCTGCTGCCTGCTCCGCCACGCCCTGTGGACCAGCCCGGCCGGCCGGCCAAGCACCTGCTTCCTGCTGGCAGCCACTCACGCCATGTGGGGCGCGTGCTGATGCCCACTTGCAGCCTGTGCCCACGCCCACATTCCTCTCCCGGCTAATTAGGGGCGGCCCCAGCGAGGACGCTGCTCTGACGCCGGTAAGAAGGCTGAGGTGGCAGAGCACGCACCTGAGCTGGGGCTGGTTGGACCTCCATGGGGCTTCCTCCCCACCCCCTGCACACCTAGCCCCAGCCTGGCTGCCACGGCCCCATCACTTATGCAATCCCTCCCCCCGTCCCTGACTTGGCTGCGAGCCCCAGCTGGGCTTGGGTGCCAGGCCCAGGAGGTGAGGCTTCCAGAGGGCCCTCCTGGCCCGAAGCATGACCTCACCCTGGAAGGGGCATGGCCTTCGGTCGGGTCGTGGCTCCCTCCGCCCAGCAGGAGGGAAATGACGGAGGGCGGTGAAGGAGCCTCTTGGCCGCTGGCTGGAGAGACCAAAGGCGAGTCCTTGGCACGCCTGACTCAGTGACCACAGCCACGCCGGCCTCTGGCCTCAGCTTCCTCATCCTGCCTCCACGTAGCTTTGCTGCGAGGCTCAGCGAAGACAAGACTGAGCCACAAGCACGGCTGTAGTTGGCCTGGTTGCAGCGAGCCAGCGCCCGTGGCTCTCAGCAGGGCGGCACAGGTCCCTGGGCAGCACCAGGACTGCCCACGCACGCTTCCAGGTGGCGAGACCCTGGCAGGCCAGCTCCTGACTATGGCCTCAGTGGAACGAAGGTTAAGTCCGCCCCACCCCATGAGAGGAGGCAGGTGCCAGGGACCCAGGTGGTTTCTGCGGATGGGGAGGCCGTCACCATCACCTCTGCCCCTGGCCCAGCTCCCAGAGTGAGGAAACCCCACCTATCATGCCCCGTGTGAGCTTGCTGTGCCAGGCTTTGGGGACGGTGGAGGTGGGAGAGCCTCCAGGCAGGGAGGGAGAGGACTAGCCTCAGAGGAGGTCTGGTCCCCTTCCTGGAACCTTCCCGTCAGACAGGGAGAAGCAGGTGGTGTTGGCACCAGCCATGTCACAGCTCACAGATGTCCCACCAGGACGCTGACTGGGTGCTGGGCCTGTGGGACCCGTAGATGGTGCAGCTGGGGGCCAGCTCAGGAGGGAGGGCAGGGTCCCTCCAGACTGTCTCCCCTCCTGTCCTTCTCCGAACTGTCTGCGTCCCTTCCCCACTGCAGCTTGGCCCCTGGAGCCTGGTCCTTCCCTGGGGGGAGGGGCCGGCGCCAGGTGGGTGGGCGCACAACCTTCTCCAAGACTCCTGGGGAAGCCTCACAGGCCTCGGGCAGGCCCAGGCAGCTCGTATACCCTGTTCTGGTGGTGGGTACAAGAGAGGCACCCTACTCTCCAGGACCCCCACGGGCACCTTCCTACTGGACCCCTACTACCTCTGCTCTCTCTTTCAGGGTTGGGGGATGCACCGAGGAAATCCCTAATTCACACACAGCACCCTACACTCTTGGCCAGGCTACCCTAAAACACAAGTCCAGTCCAGTCATGGTCCACAGAGGCCCACAGAGGCCACATGCCCCACCTCCCTGCTCCTCTGAGGTGTCCAGGTGCGGCCCTCACCCATGCTCTCTGCACAGGGACCATAGCTGCCTGCCGGGGCCCACGGCCACAGGGCCAGGCTATGGGGTGCTCAACCTGCAGCAGCAGCGTGACACCCCCAGCCTGCATTTCCACAGCACCATGCACCATGAGGTGAGGGCCAGCTCTACTTCAAGAAGGCCCCCACTGGACAGGAGGACAGGATGGAGGGGCAGCAGCAGGATGACAGCAAGGGTGCAGCAGCAGGGCTGCTTCCTGTGGGTGGAGGGCTCCCCTCCCTCCACTGTCCTATCTCACAGCCCCACCCAGGAAGGGCACCCTCCTGTCCCCAGGAGCCAGCACCGCTGTGTGTGACCGGGAGAAGCCCTCCTTCGTCACGGGCAGCCCACTCTACACACCTTCCCCCATCCCCATTGCTCAGGGCAGGGGCTGTGCCCAGCTCAGGTGAGGGGTCGGTGGGCAAGCACAGGCGGCTGTTCTCCACATGGGTTGGGGTACCATGGGGACCATGACGCCTTCCTGGCTGGGCCTTTAGGAGCAGAAACAAGGACTCGAACCTCACAGGGCTGGACATCAAGAACAGCAGGGGCTGCCCAGAGAGGGCACCGCTGGTCCCAGGTGCTCCTTCTTGCAGTGCTGCTCCCATCCTTGTGCCCAGTGGGGCAGGCCTGCTAGCCCACAGGTTAGAGAGGCTGCCTGGACCCTGTGGACTTCCACAAGGAAGGGCCTCGGCTTCCATGGCTGGCTAGGGGGTGCTGGGCCCTGGGAGGGGTCCTGCTATGCCCACGCCCCATGCACCCGGCCTCCTCAGCACTCAGCCTCCCAGGCAAGAAGGCTGATTACCTTCTGTGACCGAGCTCACCCCACAATTCACATCACGGATCCCACCAGGCAGGCTCAGGACTGGTGTGGACCCCAGCGGTCAGGTGCATACACTCCACCTTACAACAGCTTCTGACCACAGACGCAACCCAGCTCTGAGCTGCTCACCCCACCACGTACCCAGGGTGGGGCTGCAGTGCTACCTCGGGGTCTGCCCCACAGCCTGGCTAGAGCAGCCCATAGGTCCCCAGGTGCCTCCTTCAGAGGCTGGGCTGGAGGTCACTGAGCCCATGACCGCAGTGTCTGAAGGCCAGCATGGGGCCAGGCTGGGGCCCCCCAACTTGCCGGCAGATGGCTGGAGTCCGCTGCTCCCTCGGCCATGTAGTGGGGTGGGATGCTGTCTTCACCCCTCCATCTATACCTGCCTCCTCCGCCCATGGGGCAGAGGCCAGGCGGCAGGGGAGTCAAGCAAGACGCCAGACCCGGGCAGGAGAGGGCGGGGTCTGTGCCGGTTCCAGCCAGTTCCAGCCAGTTCCATCCACTGTCTCCCTGGGAGGAGATCCTACAGAAGCCCTCTCAGCCACTGCCTGTGCGCGTGCATGTGAGTGTGTGTGCACGTGAGAGAGTGTGCACAGATGGGAACAGTGCGTGTGTGCAGGAGTGTGACTCCTTGAGGGCATATGTGAGCATGGATGACGGGCACAGTATGTACGTGGACAGGTGTGAGTGGGTAAGTACGTGAGAGTGAATGTAAATGTGTGTGCACAAATGGGTACCTGAGTGTGTATTGCATATGTGAGGAAGCACGTGAGTGTGAGCACACACAAGTGTGAATGCAAAGGATATGTGTGCCCAAGTGTGAGTGCAGAAGTGTACACCTGAACGAAAGTATGTGAAGGTGAAATAAATGTGAGTTTACATGAGAGGATATGTGACTATATGCGTAACTGCGAGTGTACACACGATGCATAACACGAGTACACAGGTTGTGTGTGCATGAGTGTGAATGGGTAGAGTATGTGCACAAGTGTGCATATGAGGGTGAGTGTGCCTAAGGGGTGAATGTGAGTGTGTGAATGGGTACATGTCTATATGCATGGGTGTCAGTATGCCTGAGGGAGTCTACAAGGGTGTGTGTGCACGGGTACACAAGTGTATATACATGGGTGTGAGTGTGCACAACTGAGCTCACTATGATGGGGGTTCCCCTCCCCTGTGCTCCCTTTCCTGGGCCCCTGACAGCAGTCCTGGTCAAGGTGCCTGTTGCTAGGCAACCTGCATCCTCCACCCAGGGCAGCCCCTGCTGTGGGACGAGCTCAGCCTCAACCCAGGGTTTCCAGTGGGCAGGGTTCTGCCTCCTCCCCGCGCTTAGGCGCTGGCTGGATCCCTCACGCCTCTGCACTGCGAGCGGGCCTTGGGCTTCCTCTTGCCGTCCTCTGCCCTGTGGGGTGGGATGGGGCCCTCTGCAGGGGTCCTGAAGTGTGGGGCTGAGCCCTCCAGAGCCAGAGATCCTCCCACCACGCTGGCCTCCTGGACACCCCCGGCTGGTGCAAGGCAGAGGCTCACCTGTGAGGATGGCCACGCTGTCGAAGCAGCCGTCCAGTTTGCTGAGCAGGATGGATAGGAAGCTGTCTGCGGCCAGCACACTAGCGTCCCGTGTGCTCTGGTCATACACCACTACGTCCTGTGGTTCTGCAGTCTCCACCTGGGGGCCATGTGGGCAGAGGTCAGGGCACGGCAGGCATCATTCGGTGCCCGATGCCCTGCCTCCACCTCTGACCAGGAGGCAAGACTTAGAGGACAGCAGGGAAGGGCTGCTGTGACCTTGCCACCTGAGGAGGAGGGCAGGGGGGCTGTACACCTCCTCTGCTTGCCCCAGGAAAGTGTGCCCACACTCGAGTGGCAGAAACGTCCGTAGCTACACAGGTGGCTCAACAGATCAGGGAGGGCCAGGGCTTGCCGGGCAGCCACCCCGGCTGAGGTGGGCATCCACTGGAGAGACACAGGTGAGTGTGGGGCCTGGGGCTGCTCTCAGGGTTGTTGAGCACAGGGAAACTGGTGCTCAGGGGTGGCAGCAGGCAGGTGCTGGGAGCTGGAGCAGCGCGGTGCCCTTGGGCCTGGGCTGTCCCTGCAGGACTGCCGACCCAGCGTGCCCCTCTTCACCTCCGTGGAGAACCTGAGGACCAGAGCAGGATCCTTCCCTCGCGCCCACCACCCCCACGAAGCCGGTGGCAGCAGTGGAAGCTGGGGTGCCTGCTGTCCCCTCCCCCACCCTGGGCTGCCCAGGGCCAGATGTCTGTGGCTTCTGCTCAGGCAGGTCGATGTCTCCGCCCCTAAACACACTCAGCCCTTAAGCCGGCTGAGCCGCCAGCCCTGGGCTGGATGATGTCACCGGCAGCCAATGGGATTGCACTCCAGGAGGAAAGGCGTCCTGGCTGGGGGTGATTAATCATGGATTTCCCTGGCTGGGGCTGGCAGGGAGCGGGGAATGGGGACTCCCGAGTGTGTTCCACCTGAGTCCTCTCCTGTCTCCAGGCAGCTGGCGTCCTTCATCCACCCAGGGGCGGTGGGCAGGGAAGATCAGAGTCCAGCCAGTTCCTACCCAGGAGCTGACTGGGCAGCTGTCCCTCCCTGACGGACACTCTTGGGGACCACAGTGAATTCCCTGGAAGCTGAGGGAGAACTAGGGTGGGAGGCGTGAGCCCTGGGGCACCTCTGGTTCCTACAGCAATGACAGCAGTCAGACCCAGCTGCCCTGTCCCCTGCATGTCCCTCTGCCACCTGTGCCCTCCTGCTTGTGCTTGGTCATGCCTCCTCATGTGTTCAGTGCCCCTCTCTCTGAACCCTGGGGGCAGAGGGGCTTCCAGGCAGAAGCGGGGTGAGGACACAGGAGGTAGCTGAATAGATTGGGGGGGGCCTCACGGAGGGCCTGTCCTGCGGGACCCTCAAAAGCCCAGTTGGGGTTTGGGGGCCCCGTGCCCCGAGCCTGGCATGTAGCTCTGACTCCAAGGTGAGGGGTGCCCGGGAAGGCTGCAAGGGGTGGAGCGTGCGTACCTGGCTGCGTGTGGCAGGCTGGATGAGCTCGGCGATGGTCACCTTGCCCTGCTGCAGCCGCCGCTTCACCAGCTTGGAGCAGCAGATGTTGACGGAGCTGAGCACGTGCCAGCTGTTGTACTCCACGAAGGAGCGGCTGTCGATGACCAGGGGCCCCCCGGGCCCGCCCCGCAGCAGGCTGGCCAGCTTCCTGGCGTCCATCACCTTCCTCGGGAGCCGGTCCCCGGCCATGGTGGCGCGGTGGGCAGCAGGCAGTGACCGCAGGGTGAGGCGTGTGTGGCCTTGCGGTGCTCACAGCGCTCTAGCGCATGGTGCCCGACCTGAGGGAGAGGCAGGGGTTCAGTAGTGCTGGGGCACGGGGTCCTCATGCAAACCCCCCCACCTCTGGATGGCCGTGGTCTTGCAGGTGGCGTCACAGGACACATGGAGGCAGAAGACAGGTGGGCCCCGCCAGGGGTCTCACAGCCCTTGGCAGGCCATCTGTGCACAAGGCTCCAAGACTTTCCCTGCTGGCCTCTGCCTCGTCCCACCCTGTGGCCCTGCACGACGGGGTCCAGAGCTTGCGCCTCGCTCCCACTCTTGAAGTGCTCTGCCCTTCAAGCTGGCCATCCTCCCTCCTCGGCACAGCGTGCGCAGCCAGTCCTGCAGCCCCATCTCTAGGGCTAGCTCCTAGGCTGATGATCCAGACCCTGCAGGAGGGGCAACTCTGGGGGCTGCAGGCTGGGGCACTGGGGCACTGGGGTTTGGTCTGGGAGGTGCTTCACTATGGCTGCTGGCCCATCCTGCCAGCTGGGGTCTGTACATCTGTGTGATGCAAGGCTGGGGGAGTGGTCTCTGTGGTGTGCACCCCACCTAGTGGACCTCAGCAGGGCCCTGGAGGCTGAGCGCTGTATGCAGGAGACGGAGACCAGGTGCCTGCCCCTGGCCACTTGGACAGTGTCATGCTGTTAAGTTTGCTTTGAACATGGGGAAACTGAGGTGCAGGAGAGGGATGGGACCAACCTGAGGTCACACAAAAGGATGGACAGAACGCAGGGCTCTAGCTGATCCCTGGAAAGCCCCCCATGATGGCCTTTGTCAGGGTCTTCACTTGACCACATCCCACCCAGTTCCTCAAGGCCTGTGGCAGGAGGGTCCTCCAGTAAGTCCCCACTCCTAGCCACACGGGTGCCCTCATACACACAGCCACCATGACACTGGGGACAGCAGCTGCCTCAGGTCTGCGCCCCCTCCACGTCAGTTCCCGCATGCCCTCCCACATCAGTGGGGGAGCCCAGAGTGGGAAGAGTAGAGGGGGCTGCACCTGCCAGGCCATCCACCTCCTGCCTCAGCTCGCTGGCCCTGTCCAGCTGCCTGACCCTGGAGCCCAGCTATGGGCTGCTGCATCCTGAGGGGCAGGTGCACAGGGCAGTGGGGCCTGGGGTCCCTCAAGGACACCTGTGCCCCAGCCTCTCCTCAGTCCCTCCACAGGTGAGGACAGCAGCCAAGGGCCAGCCTGCCATGGGGATCCCCAGCCCACTGAGTGGGGGGATCCCTGCCCCTCTGAGGGGTCCCTGCCACACTCTCTTGGGGAGTTTTACTGAGCTCTAGTGTAAACCTCTCGGATGGGAAGGAAAGACCACTGCCACCAGGCCCTCTGCACCCTGGGTAAAACCTCAAGCCCCAAATCCTGAAGGGCCATGGTGGGGTGGGATCCGGGTGCTGAAGCCCACAGCTTTGCCACCATAGGCCGCCTGGGGATGCTGGGCTGGGGGTGCCCACCCTTAGACAGGCATGAGGCTGAGGGGGGTGGGGGCTGGAGGGTGGTACTTGGTCCCCACCTCTGCTCCCTGGGAACCCTCAGAGCTGGAGCTTGGCCCTATTAACTGCTGTAGTATCGTTATTTGCACCCGAGGGGGACTCATTAGCAAGTTAGCACCTCCGTGGTCACCATGGCAACAGCAGAGGTGCCAGGCAACGGCTTGCTCCTGCAGCAGCCATAGAATGAGCCAGCCGCTGCTCTGCAGTGGGCAGGTTGCCCCTCCTCGCCCACTCCCACCCAAAGCAGGTGCCCTGGCTGGCAGGAAGCCTCTCCCTGCCCGTTCTCCCAGGGACCAGGACCCAGAGCTGATGGAGTGGCAGAGGTGGCAGCAATGTCAGGTCAGCCGTGGACAGGTGCGTGGACAGAACAGGCCAACCTCTGCCCAGCCCTCCCAACCCAGGCCTGGTTGCCAGGGGCAAGACCCCCTCATCAGGGGCTCCGGGCCAAGGAGCGAGAAGCTCCCAAGTCCAAGGTCAGAGGAGGCTCCTCCCGGCTCTCGCACGGCCAGCTGCTCTGCATGCACAGGAACACACCCCTCTGCACATGCTCTGCACACAGACACATGATCCCTACCCTCTCCCACCTCAGTCCCACTTGCAGCTACGCACATGTCAGGGTGTGTACACACACCAGTACCAGAGACCCACAATGTGCACACACACTCACAAGCACTCTAGCACACATGCTGCACCTCTGCAGACTGTGCCCCAGGGCTACTCCCCAAGACCGCCTACCCCACTGACTCCCACACCAAGGCTTCCACACAGCACGTTCCTGCTCTGAGCACTAGCCTGACCACTGACAGCCCCAGGCCCTGGGCCCACCACCCCGACACAGCATTCCACCATGTGACTCGCCCTTGGCGTCCACTGAGGGGAACCCACTACCCCAGAGTGGCTGTCAGGACCATGAGGCTGAGCCCTGGGACAGCTCCCACAGCACAGTGGCACCTGCCCCTGCACACCTACACAGCCCCCAGGAAATAGCCGGAGGGACAAGGTGCTGAGATGCTGGGCTCCGGTCACTAGGGCCACCTCACAGCTTGGCCCCCACACCCCTCTGCTGCCTGGGGTGGGTAGGGAGGACATCACTGGCCTTGAGGTCCAATGTCAAGGCCAAGTGGAACTAGCCCAGGCCAGGACCATGCTGCAGGCCAAGCTGCCCGGGCAAGGGTGCATGTCCTTGGGAGCAGGTTGGGGGGCATCTCAGCCTCACCTGGCCTAGCCCTGCCAGAGAGCTGCAGGGTCTCCTCTGGTCACTGTCCCCAGTGCACCCCGGACATCCCAGGGCTTTCTTTGGTCATTGTCCCCAATCGCACACTGGATGGCCCATGGTCCTGGTGGTCACTGCCCACAGGTCAGGCAGAGGTGGCCTTGGCCCAGGCAGCCCTGGCAGCCTGAGTCGGGCTGTCTCCCTTGCGGAGGTCTGGGCCGTTGTTCTCTTCCTCTATGCGCAGCACCTCAGGGCCTCCCCAGCCCTAGGCCCCACGACGAGGGGAGCCTGCGCAGGGAGGGCTCCCGGACGCTGCCGGCCTGGCAGTGCCCGCATCTCTGTCACAGAGCTGTCCCAGGTGGCCGGGCCCAGAACTCCTCAGGGCTGAGGCCCGGGCCAGCCTGGGCCGCGAGCTTCAGGATGTGCCTCCAGCTGCCCGCACAGGGTCTCCGTCTGCGCTGGCGCCGTTGGCCAGGAGGAGCGCCGCCTCTGAGCCGGCGCAGGCGGCACTGCAGCCACCGCGTCCCCAGAGCCGCGCATGGCGCACGCAGGTCCCGGGGTCCAGGGCCCTCTCCCCGAGCCGCACGCAGCCGCTCCTCCCTACACCGGTCCTCCGGC